GACGGAGCGGAGGGTAGTCGCGGGGCGGCTGGTGTGAGTGGCGGAGGAGGTGCCTGAGCCCCCCCTTCCCCAGCCCCTGCGGGCCCAGGACGTGGCTCCTCACTCCCGTCTCTCCACAGCTACCCCGCCGGCTTTGTCTACATCTTCCTGGGCCTGTACTACGTGACGGGTCACGGCGCTGACATCCGCCTGGCACAGCACCTCTTCGCTGGCCTCTACCTGCTCAACCTGCTCCTCGTCTTCCGCATCTACTGCCGAACCAACAAGGTAGCCTGGAGTCAGGGAGCCTGGACGGTCTTCTGCTCACCCAGGCAGAATGGTTTGGAGGCATCTGGGACAGGCTGCTGACTGCCCTCGTGTCTCTCTGTCCCCCGCAAGGTCCCCCCGTATGTTTTCTTCTTCATGTGCTGCGCCTCGTACCGCATCCACTCCATCTTCGTCCTGCGGCTCTTTAACGACCCCGTGGCCATGGCCATCCTCTTCCTTGCCATCAACCTCTTCCTGGAGGAGCACTGGTCCTGGGGCTGCTTCTTCTTCAGGTGAGGGTCTCGGGGCAGGGCAGGGGCTGCTCTCCATGGTGTGCTGTGTGCATGAGTGAGCTCAGCCCCCGGGCTGCCTGGGCGTCCGCGTGGAAAGCCACAGCAGTAACAGCTTTCTGACCAGCCTGGCCGTGTCCGTGAAGATGAACATCCTGCTCTTTGCACCTGGGCTTCTCTTCCTCCTCCTTCAACGGTTCGGTCTCCTGGGATGTATCCCAAAGCTCTGCATCTGTGCCCTGCTCCAGGTGGGTCCTTGCTTGCAGTAGCCACAGGGACAGGCTGGCAGCCTGCCTGGCTGTCCTGGGGGTTGGGGACCTCTGGGTGCACATGCAGTGGCACCAGCATCTGAGTTTGCTCTATGCAGCAAGCTGGAGGAGACTGATAAAGAATACAATTCATGGGACACTGAGCTTTGACTGACAGTCCCTGTCATCCCATGTGGTGCTGGGGTTCTTGGGAGGTGGCAGGGGTGCTGGGGACCTGGCATATGGCTGCTGTGATGGTGGTGTGTCTCTGGCAGGTGGCTCTGGGGCTGCCCTTCCTGCTGGTGAACCCTGTGGGGTACCTGACTCGCTCCTTTGACCTGGGCCGCCAGTTCCAGTTCAAATGGACAGTGAACTGGCGCTTCCTCCCAGAAGAGGTTTTCCAGAATCGAGCTTTCCATGTCACTCTGCTCCTGGCTCACCTGGCTGGCCTGGGGCTCTTTGCACTGCACCGGTGGCACAGGTGAGACCTGGGGTTCCCCACGGGTGCTCGTCCCTGTCAGCCCTTGTGCAGGCCCACAGCTTCCATGCCCACACAGTGCTGCAGCCCTGGGGGTGTGGGCAGGAGTGGAGGGAAATTGCTGTTCCATTTTGGGGAGCATGCTGCCCCGTGACTCACAGGAAAGTTGGCATGGGAAGGGTGACAGATGTTTGTGCTACTTCCTCAGGTCCAAAGAGAGCATCCTGGCCCTGCTGAAGGATCCAGCTGAAAGGAAGCACACATCCCCTCCCTTGTCTGTCAACAATATCCTTTGGCAGGGTGGGCAACAAGGAGGGGAGAAGGCAGGGCAGGGCAGACCTTGGGATCAGCTTTCACAGGCTTTTGGTCCTGCCACGTTGTCAGGGCCAGCCTGTCCCTGGGGAAGTTCCTTGTGCTGTAGGGCTGGGGAGCTGCTGCAGGATCACTCCTCCTGTATCTGTCCCCTTAACACCAGCTCACATATCATCTTCGTCCTCTTCTCCTCCAACTTCCTGGGTGTCTGCTGCAGCCGCTCGCTCCACTACCAGTTCTACGTCTGGTATTTCCACACGCTGCCCTACTTACTCTGGTGCACCCCTACCTCCAAGCTCGCCCACGTGCTCAAGTACGTGCCGCCAGGGAGGGAAACCCCCAGCTGTGGGGGAATCTGTGAGCAAGGGGGGCTGGCATGTCTCCCCCGACCCTGTGCTGACCCCCAGTTTTAACCCCCTGCAGGGTGCTGGTGCTGGGCGTGATCGAGCTCTGCTGGAATACCTATCCCTCCACAGTCTGCAGCTCTCTCTCCCTCCACATCTGCCACGGACTTGTCCTGCTCCAGCTCTGGTATGGCACAGCCCCCTTGCCAGTACCTCAACCATCCCCACCGAGCAGGAAGTCTGCAGCCATCTCCAAGAAGATCAAGTGAGAGCGTGGCCAGCTGGATGATGGGAACTGACCTCTAGGACTGCCCCTTCTGTTTGCTTTCTTCCCACCCGGCTCCCAGGCAGCCCCCAGCCATCTCAGGAAGGCAGCGAGCCCTGGAACTGTGTAAAGGGGGCAGCATGGGGACCCCAGCAGGCAGGACTTCTCCAATAAAGGGGCTTTGCGTGCCCTTCCCTGGCCACAGTGTCCTTATGCCATTATGGTGTTGGGACAGCTGTGCCACTGCCTGGCCCACGTGGGGGGAGGCAGAGCAGCCACTAGGGCCATGGGAGGTCCCTTCCCAGCCCAGGGCTGGGGAGCAGCCTCGGGTGAGATTAAGACAGAAGATCTGCAAAACCACTCTGCCTCAAGGTTTGAATCTCCTTGATGCAGCCTGGAGATCCCTCCAGCATGGCTCTTCCCAGTCTCTGGTCTGCTCCCTCCCACAGGAGAGGCCTGTAAAGGTGGTGACCTCCCCCCAGGCTCTGGTGAGACCCCCAAGGGTCCCTACCCGTAACAGAGACACATTTGCAGGCAACACAGCTCCAGGTGTCTTTATTGGCCCCTCTGGCATCTGTCAGACGTTGTTGGGGTTGTAGCACAGCATGTTCAGCTTGATGTTCTCATCCCAGTGGCGCAGCAGCAGGAACAAGTGCCTGGCTGCCCCTTTGAGGCAGCCCATGTCCACCCCCTCGGGCAGCTGCCGTGCCTGCAGCCCAGCGGCCG